AACTGATTTAATTATCACTCAAGTGGCTATTAAGCGCTGGAGAATATATTATTTGCAAAATTGCAACTAATCAATGACCATGACATAACTAACTTGGGGCCGATTGCACCATTGGGTTTAACGAAGTTTAAAATGACATTTTTATATAAAATTAAATTTTAATCTTCAATTAATAGTTTAAACTTTAACACAATGGTGGAATTAACCCTAGAGCGTTGAAATCATTCACAGAAAAAATAAATAGTATATTTCTGGTTCACATAAGCGACAAAAATAAACAGAGTTCGATTTATTGGATCAGTCCTCACACGTTTGCACTAGGGCACATAAATAACCCAATCTTTAATTTTTTTATGAGCCCAATGCTTTCTGGCTTTAAAGTACAAGGTCGCAACTGTCAACTAATCTTACCTTACTTTAATTAACAGCTTTCTCGAAATTAAGAACAAATGCTCATACTCTAAAAGCTCGATAATCAGATACGAAACTTAATGCAAGGCTCGCGGAAAATGGCTAATAAGCAATCTCTGTGTAGGTAGATACACTATTCAGGAAATCAAAATGTGGATTAATCTTACTTGGTCTTGGTACTTTTGTAGATTCAGACTGAAAGGTGTTATCTTCATTCAAAACATTCAGTAAATCAGCGAAGCCACAACCAGCGGTGTGCAGGTGCACTTCTAACAAATGTAAAATATGAAGTGATCTTACTTGAGACCTAGGTATAGATCCAATGACGATATTATGGTGGTTGGTTTGATCTGGGCTTCTCACCATCTGCAGAGATTATGACTATATACTTATGTAAAGGTCTACCGTAGTAACACATATGCACCACAAGTGTGCCGGTCCAATTTAATTGGTCTATGCACAATAATCATGCATGTATGATTGAAAGTCAGACAAAGATAAAGTTGAAGTCTCAATCATAGTTAAAGCCACAGATGAAGTTAAAGTTAACAGTAAAAGAGTTGAAATTGTAGGCTGGTGATAAAGGGAGGCCAACATCTAGGTAATAAATCTTTGACGAATTAGGAAAAGTATCCACTGTAAGTGCTTTTCTTAACCACTAAGGTAAAAACCAGAATATTTCCTAATACACAATTTCTTCGCTAGGCAAAATAAGAAATACATTTGTGAGAGTACTTCCCAAGTGTTTTTTCAAAAGTTCTAAGAACAAAATTGACGAAAATGGCCTAATCCAAGTTCAAATTCTAAAAACTTGAACATTAAAGATAAGTATCTTAATGTAAAATAAGTAAAACACCGTTGTGCAAATAATGTGTGCTGTGATTAAATAAAAGTGTACAAAGAATAAAGTTTTAATATTTTCTTATCCATATCTATGTGTGATATTTATTTTTAATACTAAACAAACGGTTATGATTTTGTTGCTAGTCTCATTAAAAAAGACTAAGTGAGTATTGATGTTAAATATTTATTATTATAAGAATTTATATACAATATGTTCATAATGTGCACTGTACAAACTTAAATATATTCCTGAATTCATTTCAAGCGTTAAAAAATGTCTTATTAGCCCAAGAGCCCACTGCAAATTTTTACCGTCATCTGATAACGAAATGAAATATACCCCAAAAGCATGGAAAAACATTGCACTTTACCAAATGGCACCTGTGCCAATCCCAATCCTGAGCAAAGTTGATTAAAAAAATTATTTTATATGAAAAAAATCACATAAGGCATGACAGCGCTAATTTTGTTTGCCCTTAAAGTTTTTCAGAAAATAACATTCATATATATTTTGATATATATCGTTAAAGGGAAATATTTTCTTCCTCTTAACATCGTACAAAAACATCTATCAACGATTAGTAGGTAAATATCATTAAAAATATGAATCAATGTTTGCCAATTTAAAAATTTATTTTTATGTCTATTGTTGTGATTCATTTTTACAGGTTGCCATAGAAACGACAAAAAAACTACTATGATTATGGTTTAAAATAATTGTCTAACAAGAGTTTATAATTATTATTGGCTCTATCTGCAAATGGTTTATATAATGCCATCCTTCTTCCTTTCATACATAAACATGGTTTAAAAGGTAGGTAATAATATTAATAATTCAGGTTTAAAAGCTAGGTTCACAATGAATTAGGATTGTAATTTTCAGGGAAAACATAATTGTCGCTGTCATGTTTTATGTGATTTTTTGAACATAAAATAATTTTTTTTAACCACTTTGCTCAGGATAGGGATTGGCACAGGTGCAATTTGGTAAAGTACAATGTTGTTACATGCCTTTGGAGCATATTTCATTTCGTTATCAGATGACGGTCGAAATTTGCAGTGGGCTCTCATACTATATGAACGAATATCCAATTCTACATAGTTACCAAGCTAAAAGAGTTTAAATATCAAAAGTTGTATTAACATATTATGCCATGTGTTTGAAAATGTCAAAAAAAAATGTCAAAGCACAGCACTGAATGTTTGATGCCTTGGTATGGAAATCGTCACTGATACTCCATACAAGCAGCTCGCAAATATTCATGACAAAATCATTAAAGGTACACTATGTTGGCATATTATTAATTCAAAAACAGCAAAGGCGTGTTGCAAATTTAAATTTATCATAAAAAGGAAAAGTAGTTGACAAGTGTAGTACTGAGTAGCCAACTGACGTTTATAATTATTGTTGATAAACAACCAAAAGTTTTGAAAATGTGATATTTAAGTTTGTATAGTACGTCTTGCTACATCCTGTATATGCAACTGATCATTTTAGAGATGTAAAAGATGTAATCTGGACAGCTACAGCTCAAATAAACAAACGCAGATGTAGTAGTGTCCAATGTAAATAAACAAATGCATAAGACCCTAAAAAATGCATCAGATGTGGATATTCTAATGCAGCAATAGTTAGTAGGTTTTTGACAGTGACACCTATGAAGATCAGTATTGTGGCAGTACCAGGGTGCATCGACGATGTTCCTTAATACTTTATTCTGGAAACGTGGAATAACTTCGATGTCACTTTTACTGGCACACCCCAAAGCTGGCGATTCGCTTCATTTTCACCAATTCCTTTAAACGCACTAATCTGAAATAAATTATAGGTAATTAAAAAGGTATATCAAATGAACTATAATAAAACAAACAATACTCATGCATACACAAAACATGAAGCTCTACTTTTCAATTAGCTATAAAACTAATAAATAAAATTGGTGGATGGACAGCAAATGTAGGTTATATTTAAATAGAAATATGAATATAAAATGCCTATAAATTAAATTTGATAAACGAAATGGCGTACGATTAATGTACTTCTCAAGAAAATGCTTGAAACATATACTGCTGAATTTAGAAGGTTACCAATTATACTTGTTGACAAACTGTATTCACGCGCTACGTTTTATAGGATTTTTTGGAAATCTATAAATATTATTTCGTATGAAAAAGTATTATTCCAATATAGGTAGGCCCAAAAGTTGATAGATGATTTTTTTTGCATTTTTAGAAGCATACTTTTTCACATTTTATACAAACCTGTCAATACTGTCCTGTATAATATTTATAATTTTGATACTAACCTATGAAACGTTATTCCAGTCGATTTTTCACGAAAACGTCTATCGCTAGAGCAGGAACGTATAACACAGCATGGCATTATATACTTTATAAGTTTGTAACACTCAAAATTTGTTCAAACACAAATTAAATTCAAATTTAATTACACAAATGACACTAAAAATATAACCTATAAAATTTGACAATTTGCACTCACAGTAATGGCGGACCGGTCCCACTTTTCGCTTACGCATGTCGTATCCCTAGGTTGCCAGATCAATGGTATAAATGGAACGATATTTTCAGAAGTGGTGTAGGTCAGTGCTACACTTTCGATGCAAAGGAAAAGATCTAATAGGTTCTTTCGTTCGCCGTTGGTGCAGTGTCCACCAGTGTAAATTACACCAGTTACACCACCATATTTACCTTAGTTTACTTCCCTCCTTATTCCTTATACACATGTCGAGTGTAATTCACTCTTGCTAAATAGCTAGTGAAGAAAATATCCACCAGTGGACACCACATCGCCGACAGGAAGGTTTAGTGGATTTTACACCGGGCCGAACGAAAGGTTTAGTGTACGTTGGTGTAGTTCATTCCTACACCAGTGGGACGAACGAAAGAACCTTATAAATCTACAAATTTTTTAAAACTATCATTCAGCGTCTGGTATTTATAATGGAATGATGACATCTGTCACAAGTGTCACACCTAAATTCGTTACGAGTCAAGAAGAAATGTTTCCAGTGGCGGGTAATTTTAATGTTTTACATAGGTTAACGATAAATATGTATTTTAATTTAATACAGAATGATCCGTAATTAATGACACATACCGCAACTGTAGTGTTAACTTCGAAATATTACAATCTAATTAAACTTTCCTTAATAAATTTAGATGAAAATTTGACAGGGTATCAAATTTGAAATAATTATTTCGCTTTTTTGGTAATAATTTCAGTTTGTTTTAACAAGGGGTTATTATTTTTGGCAAGGAATATGATTGCCACATGATCAGTACCTATGTGAGTAAAAATAATATTATGACGTTTACGTTATTGGGCAAAATTGTTTTTACCTTTCTAAAAAATTAAAAAAATAAAAAAAACAAAAATATTTCAACTTCGATACACTAACTTTTTTGTTATTTAATGTTTCATTGAATACTATGGGCCATTAATTTAGAGACCATCATGTTTATAAATACCTGTAAAAGTAAATTATCCAAACTGTTGTAAAAATACATAAAATACGAATCGTCATAAATTTTAACTAAAACAAAAATAAAAACTAATTGTCCCAAAATGTCTCGAAAATAATTTTTTTATTAGAAAAACACTTAACTACGAAGGTTATTAGCGAACTAAAGTTTCCAAATATAAGTTCGAGAAAGTTTTTATACGAGGGTCACGCTATATATTGTGAGATACAAAAAAAACTTCAAGTGTTTTTAGAAAAATGATTTTATTTATGTTCAAAGTAATCACCACCTATATCAATGCACTTTTTTAACTGAAGCATCCACAACTTAATAGTTTGCAGCCAGTCATCTTTTTGAAATACTCTCAAAAAATTGATGGATTGCTTCATCTATCTCATCCTCCGTCGTGAAACGTCGATCACGTAAATGTTTGTTTAGATTAAATAACAACCAGAAATCACACATGGCCAAATCAGGGGAATATTACAATCTAATTAAACTTTCCTTAATAAATTTAGATGAAAATTTGACAGGGTATCAAATTTGAAATAATTATTTCGCTTTTTTGGTAATAATTTCAGTTTGTTTTAACAAGGGGTTATTATTTTTGGCAAGGAATATGATTGCCACATGATCAGTACCTATGTGAGTAAAAATAACATTATGACGTTTACGTTATTGGGCAAAATTGTTTTTACCTTTCTAAAAAATTAAAAAAATAAAAAAAACAAAAATATTTCAACTTCGATACACTAACTTTTTTGTTATTTAATGTTTCATTGAATACTATGGGCCATTAATTTAGAGACCATCATGTTTATAAATACCTGTAAAAGTAAATTATCCAAACTGTTGTAAAAATACATAAAATACGAATCGTCATAAATTTTAACTAAAACAAAAATAAAAACTAATTGTCCCAAAATGTCTCGAAAATAATTTTTTTATTAGAAAAACACTTAACTACGAAGGTTATTAGCGAACTAAAGTTTCACAAATATAAGTTCGAGAAAGTTTTTATACGAGGGTCACGCTATATATTGTGAGATACAAAAAAAACTTCAAGTGTTTTTAGAAAAATGATTTTATTTATGTTTAAAGTAATCACCACCTATATCAATGCACTTTTTTAACTGAAGCATCCACAACTTAATAGTTTGCAGCCAGTCATCTTTTTGAAATACTCTCAAAAAATTGATGGATTGCTTCATCTATCTCATCCTCCGTCGTGAAACGTCGATCACGTAAATGTTTGTTTAGATTAAATAACAACCAGAAATCACACATGGCCAAATCAGGGGAATAGGGTGGATATTTAATGCCTATTATATTGTTTTCACATAAAAATTCAACTGTCTGCTGTGCAGTGTGTGACGATGCATTGTCATGCTGCAACATTAATCCACGGATATTGACTGACTCAAGAACTGCAGGTAAACATTTTGTGGTGCACCAGTTTGCTGTAACTGTACGTTGGTCTTCAAGCTGAATTGATTTTTCAAATCCTGTACTACGAAAGAAAACTGCGTACAAACTTTCTTGACATCTCTTTGCTTTTTCGCCGTTGTTGGTGTTGGATCGCCTTCGTAAATCCACACACGGCTCTCCTGGCGAGTAGAAATATCATAAAATGGTACATATGTTTTATCACCTCTTACAGTTTCAAAAATAATACGATGTCCACCAATATTTAACATTTATAACGTTTCCCGCGCGATTCTTATTCGCTCTGCCTTTTGGAAATCATTAAGCGCATGTGACATCCAACGAGTACGAAGATGAATATGTAAAATTGAATTTACTGTTGCCTCAATCGGTTAACAGATGCATCTTGGATCTTCTTCCATCATACGTCTCACTCTCTCAATGTTTCCAACAGTAACTGAAGAACAAGGCTTACCAATACGTGCCTCATCACCAAGCGCTATCTGTCCTCTTTTAAATTCGTTATACCAGCGAAATACAGTTGCCTGTGAAGAACTTTCATCTTCAAATGCGCATTGAAACCGTTTAAGACTTTGTTATTCACTTAAACCGACCTTTAAATCTCAGTAGATCATAGCGAGCACATGTTCTCTTGACAAATCCATGTTTAGCTGATAAATCGTACGTGCCACGTTTACTATGTGACAGCAGCGACTTAACTGATGGTCAGAGCTTACTCTTACTAGTTAAGGATGGTGGTATTCAAAAATGCAGTCTTGCCAGCTCTTACGCCTCTAATTTCGTGGCATCTCAAAATATACATAGTGGCCCTCGTATTATGTAGATTGCATTTCGTTGTGTTGGAAGATGAGTACAATGGATGAGTATGTGAATTATAGTTTATTTTGTATCACATTAGTTAACATTTTGGTTCAGTTTTTGGGATTAGTAAATACATTTGCGTGAGTTATCTGTGTGTGACCTAAACGTAATCTAGTCAATAACACTCTTGGTATTTTCTCTTTTCTACTTTTTATTTAATTTAATTTTGTTGTACCCATTTTCCATTTACTTTCCCAGGCACTAATCACTTTTGATTTAACGCAAGACTTGACGTCACTACTCACTATCAGATGAACCGTTTGCGCACTGTCACCTGTCACAGCTTCTTTGACAAGTTTGTCGGCTTCCTCGTTGCCTGCTACTCCGATGTGGCATGGAACCACATACTTTGATTTTCTCTTACTATACGAAGAATGGTCGCACTGCGTAGCTTTCTGAGTGCCTTTTAAAAGGAGATAGAAAACTCCGCCATTTTGATGCCTTATTACGTGTTGCCTACATCTTGGCGCAATATTTTTAATAGGTGCGTTTTAATCATCCGCTTCTGCTTCGGAATTGTCGGTTTTCTTGTTTTAATCTGACAGGTTAGAACGACTGAACCGACAATTCCGGAAGCAGAAGCGGATGATTAAAACTCACCTGATATTTTGCTTGCTGCTGTCAGTGTCAGTGAATATTATTTTTGGAGTCACAGTTTATTGCTAAAGAATCAGTTAGCTCACTCGGACCAGTTAAAAGTTCCAAAATAACATCCACTCCAGGGATACAAATTCAGGATACGCAGAAGACTGCTGTTTTATTATAGGCGGTTGTCATATATTGTATTATCTGAGTTGCGCCCGAGAATACCGATCAAGGAGAAGCGACAGTAGCTGTCGGTGCCTTTGATATCGGATGTACCTTTTTTACAGTACACATACTTTGATTTTCTTTTACTATACGGAGAATGGTCGCACTGCGCAGCTTTCTGAGTGCCTTTTAAAAGGAGATAGAAAACTCCGCCATTTTGAACCCTTATTACGTGTTGCCTACATCTTGGCGCAATATTTTTAATAGGTGCGTTTTAATCATCCGCTTCTGCTTCGGAATTGTCGGTTTTCTTGTTTTAATCTGACAGGTTAGAACGACTGAACCGACAATTCCGGAAGCAGAAGCGGATGATTAAAACGCACCTGATATTTTGCTTGCTGCTGTCAGTGTCAGTGAATATTATTTTTGGAGTCACAATTTATTGCTAAAGAATCAGTTAGCTCACTCGGACCAGTTAAAAGTTCCAAAATAACATCCACTCCAGGAATACAAATTCAGGATACGCAGAAGACTGCTGTTTTATTATAGGCGGTTGTCATATATTGTATTATATGAGTTACGCAGTGTATAAACTGGAACATTGAGATAAAAAGTGCCAACGCAGAGTGAGCGATCTGATTCTTTAGCTATAAACTGTGTCATAGGGTTCAAAATGGCCGCGCCCTATGTTGGGCGTGTCGGACCTCTCTCTTGCCCCGTATAGTAATCAAAGTATGTGTTACAGTATGACTTTGACTGATACACAACTTAGCACGCTGAGAAAACATGCTTATTTTCTACACTGAGCGAAATAGTTTGGCAAATTATCTGAAATTATTGTTATAGTCCATGCGCAAATGTTGCAATGTGATTTAATTACATTGAAGTAAATAGGGTTAATAGTAATGATGAAATTTCGGCACCAAAATATAATTCATTATGTAATAATTAATTATTTATTATAAAAGTAAAAGACGTTTATTATTTTATAATTTATCTATAAAATTTGTTCAATATTTGGTTTATTTATTGTTAAAAATGTAATAAAAGCCCCATGTTTAAATTAAATTACCTTTTCCTTAACTAAAAATAAGGTAAATAAAATTAAGGGTGTTAAAAAAAATTTAGGTAACAATTAAAAAGATATCAGGTTTGAGAGGTTTAACTAAATATTTGCAATGAGCATATATTTTCAAAGCTTTTAGGTTTAAAAAGTACTTACATATTTTTAGAATTTCTAGATTTATATTAAATTAAAAGAACTTTCAAGTTTATCACTCATTTCTGTAGAAACAAGTGTTTTCTCGCCAAGTTAAACCAGATGTCATTTAAGGTTTATGTATTTAGAGTTAAATACCTGGCCTGGCTATTACCCAGATAATACAAATATGTCCATTGGACGTCCATTCGATATACAATTTTGGATGTCTAGACGTCCAAACATGAGTTTTCTGGACTTCCGACATCCAATGGACGTCCAGTGAAGTATACAAATGGCACACTTTCGACCATTCAGAGGACGTCCAATTCAGGAATATATTTGGACGTCAAATACTAGACATTCAAAAAACGTCCAGGATTATATTTCCATTGAGACCACATCCCCACTTTTTTACAGAAACGCAACTCACCACACACTATTTTATATTATTAATAATTTGTTTATTATTTTCGCAAATCGCTATACACCATTTATTTATTTTTTTATTAAAAATCGCTTGACCTGAGCAGAAATCGAACTCACGATACATCCATTATCATTTTACGCTTTCAATCGCTAGACGAGCTCGACCAAGGAACCACTTGAAAACTTTTTTCTAGATACAGTTATAATTGAATAAGATTTCAAACTTCCGCTGATAGAATGAAATGCAATAGATTCAATTTGTCAATTTTTAATGACCAGTTATATTAAAAAAAAGAAGTATATCCCACATAGCACACGGACGTCTTATGGACGTCTAAAAGACGTCCTTCAGGGACATAAAGGACGTCCGAGGGACGTCCTCTTTTGATACCGGGACGTCAATCTGACGTCCAATGGACGTCCTAATGTTCCGTTTCCGTCCATCTTTGGGACGTCCCTGGGACATTCTAAAAGGACGTCATAGGGACCTTTGTTGGACGTAAATCAGACGTCCGACGGACGATATTTGATCATAATCTATAAAAGGTAATAATAACAAAAATGTTAACAATAAAAGAGCTTCATTTAACAACTTTCATCCTGAAAAAACTAGCTAAAGTTAAACGTTTTTAGTTTACAAAAAAAAAACAGGAATTAATTAAATTTAACACACAGCGCTGGTAAAATAAAACCTTAGGTCCTACTTATAGCTTATGTCGACATAATTGAGTATTATAATTTTGTCAAAATTAGTTTTGTTCCAACTCTCCGCCATTAAGGTATTTTCTTTCCGCCAGCGGCTACCGCCAATACACATCACTTATTCTCACCTCAACACAAAACACTCACTTCACTTTATAACCACTTTACCACCCACATCAAAAAAATAACAAATAACACTATATAACCTTTTTTCTTCATTAATCTAACTCACTTATATAAGTTAATTATTGAATGCCGAAAATTGTAGCTGTTGTTGTTCATTTGAAAATAAATGATAGGTTAGGTTTTCTGTCCTCATACTCTTACAAAAACAAAACGTTGAATTTCAAGTTATCGATTCAACGACCAACGATGCTAGTACATAAAAAGTCCCATTAACGTCCCGGACTCGGACCGAAACCTAAACGTTTTGTCGAAACGGGACCAAAATAGGACGTCCTTCGAAGGACGTCCTAGTGTTCACTGTAATCGGCCATGGGACGTCCTGTGCTATCTGGGATATAGATGGGTATTATCTGGTAGGCTTAATAAATAATGACCTAAGATGGACGTCCACTGGACGTCAAAATACTACTGAACTTAAAATTAAGTCCAAAAACAGACGTTCTCTGGGTATCGATATTCAGTTGTCAATTTAATTAGCATGAACGGACGTACACTGGATGACGGATATGGACGTCCTGACCCTCAAATAGATCTAAAGTGGACGTCCATTGGACTATGTGTGCATAGACGAATTTTTAGAAATAGTACTTAAGTATGCATCAATATTTCCAAAATCCAGTATGATTTATTCAATAAATGTAAATATGAATGGGCAAAACATCTTTATATTGACATAATTGTTACTTACAATTTAGCCATATTAAAGGGATTTTGCCCACTTTGACCAATCCTAATTGAAATACGCGAATTTATTATACTTTTTTAAATATAATTTCAAAATAAAATAAACAAAATCTGCAATTCATTGTTTGTTAAATTATTTATT